GCGAAATGGTTTATACGTGGTAACAAAATGGTTTTAATTATTATTATGCTCTTTGATGTTAGTTTAAGATACATAATATAATAAATATAACGCTTTATTTTATACAAAACAATTTGGTAATAGTAGAAGCAAAGCAAAATCTTTCTCCTCTCATTTAAGTGGTTATTGGATTTTACCGAAATAAAGATTTCTATAAATCCGCGATATTGTTTAACATTTCCATAAAAAATAGCATAAATTGACTAATTTCTTTTTCTAAAGCTATATTCTACTAAATCGAACTGAATTTCCCAAACTGATAAAACTCTAGTGACTTTCTAAAAATGACTTAAGCAGTATTATACAGACATTCAAATTTATTTTATTTGATGACTCCATGGCGCAGTTGCCAAGGTATTGGCTTCGACGTCGGGGGTCGTTGGTTCGATTCCCACACGGGACAACTATTTGTGCGACCTACAGATAGTTGTTTCGCATCTGGGTGTTTGTCCTCGTGTAATTTATGTTTGTAAAACGTCCTTACAACTCAGAATAATGTTATTATAAAGTCAGGGCAATGTTTTTTTATTTAAACTAAAAAAAAATCAAACAACATTCTCCAGTTATGTAAGCAAAACAATATTTCTAAACGTTATTTGTTATTAAATATGGGAAAGAAAGGATATTCGCGGTGGAACAGCATATCTGTATTTCGATGTCATAATTAATTATAGCTGAAGTCAAAACTATTCATACATAGTATGGACTATGAAGAAGTAGTAATTTGTTTTTGTGGTGAAATGTTTTTGTGGTTATATCTTTTATAAGTATTGGATATCAACATGGTGATAGAAGCAATCTTAATAAAAATAGACTAGAAAGTTAATTTCAATGATACAAGTAAAGTACAAATCAGTTTTGTACAATCACAGTGGGCTTTGCTAGCGTCCTTACGGCTGATACAGCGCATAGTTAAATTCAAAATAATTCACAAGTACAGCAATGGTGTTTCTAATTGTGCATTTCTGCTGTACTCTATTATTTGTTTTGAGAGTGAAGAGAAAATCATAAACATTAAACGATACTTCAATTAAAGGAATGTGAGTTTTATTCCGTATTGTTTATGATTAAAAATTAAACGAAGTGAATGTCTTAAGATTATAGTGAACGTCCGTTTAAAGCCAAGGCCGAAATATAAAGAATACGGAAGATCGAACAGTGGGCAACGGGTTTCATTCTTGATGCCTTATTTATATCGAAATTCTCGCAACGTTCTTTGTATGGAAATCTGAGGGCGTTCTTGAATAGATTCCACTCAGTTGGAATGCTGTTAAAGTGTTCTATTCATAAACACACACTTTTCTAGTCCAGTTATATTTAGAAGGTAAACATTATAATTTTGATAATATTTTTGTACCTATTTAACTGCTGTTTCCAGCGATTGTCTATTTTAGCGACTTCCTTCGGACAGTTATAGTAAAAGATAGTTTTAGGTTCGTTCCGTCCAATAGTTTCAAAGAAGATGAAGAAAATTATATTTTAGTCTAATTAATAAATTAAAGACGGTACTTAAATATTGTTATTATTTTATTAATGAACGAAGCTTCGGAATCAGCGATACTGTGAATAGCTTAATATTTAATGAAGAATTCCGTGGAAAAAATATTCCTATTATACTCAGATATGAAATGCAATAATTTAAATTGCATCGAAGAGGTTGTCTGCTTACTAATATAATAAGGGTCTGCTTACTAATAGTACAAAATTATAAAGCTCTAGCGCTACAAGTTATAACGAACTTATGTTATAATTCTCCATCAAGCACCATTGCTTAATACAATTAGCGTTAACAATCCGGAGGAAAGTAATCTTTCATTTCAGAATATTTCTAATCAAGCATTTTTACCTAGCACCTGCGTTGCAAGGGAGTTTCAATCAAATGCATTGTGTATAAACATTTATTCGTTACTGTTAATATACGTTATGATAGAATACTTTTTTAAATTTTGGTTGAGGACTGAAGATAATAAGAAAGTCAAAAAACTTCTAAATTTAATCTGAGCTGAACGTAAATTCTACACGTGAAAGAATAGCATTACTTTCTATTAACTACCGGCGATAAAATTAAAACATCGTAATAAAAAAATTCTTTCATTTAATAACGACATTCGTTTAGAAATGTAAATTATCATAGCAATCGGTATTGTGTCTATCTGTATAACTTTTGGAGTTATAATTTTTAATCAAGAAATATCAATTAAATCGATTTGTTCATTAATCATGAAAATATTGTAGTTACTTCCGTTCACTCTAATGAAGAGTGGTGAGATCAGAATTATAATATTTCGAAGGTAAATCAGCGACATTGGATTAAATTGTAAGGTCGAATATACGACACCTGTGTGTCTATTATAATGTTAAATCAGATAAAGTGGTGAGGAATGCTAGAATGGCAACGCAAAACGTTGATAATTAAAACATCAATGGTTTTGCTCTTGGAATTACGTACCTAGCAAGTGTAAGGCAATGGAATGTTGCCTTCGCTTTCTTAATTGTACTTCGAACATCAATGATTACCTACAGTTTTCATTTATATAATTAAATTAGTATATGTATAATTAATATAAATTACCATAAGCAATAAATACCGATGTAGGTAGATGTCTCAGCACTGCGTTCCAATTTACCAGAAAATGTTTTATTTTTATTTTTTATGAAAGAAAGTGGAACAAATACAGATCTTATAAGCGCACATGATAATCCACGATACCTGAGCTATATGTATATTTTGGTTGCCAACCTTTCAGAAATATATTCTGGTTACCTCGACCACCTGACGACATTAAAATTCATAAATCTTCTACTTTACGCCAAACTTCTTCTAACCAACGGTATTCTCTCGGTAGGGCTATTCTATTCATACAATTTAATCTACTGCATGGGTCTGCTGCAGTATAAAATAATAAAATAGAGTGAGAGATAAAAAATAAGTCAAAATTTTAACGTGTTTAGTGCTTTAACGTCTTTTTAATTTAGAATAGAGAAACGAACTAAAAATATTCCATATAGAATAGTATTTAAAATGTATTGTGTCCGAAAGACGGTCTAATGGACACAGTCTAATGGGAGGTGCACGAAAACTACTCCCTCCTAACATAAAGATTCATCATATGCAAGATGCGCACTATTTGATAAGTTGTATCTTATAACTTTAACAGTTAATACAATGATTTTTTTGAAAGTTCGCATTTATTTGAATCGAACAGCTGGTTTAAGAAACCTGATGGAAATTGACGAGTGGCTACAGTATACAGCTATGAATTAAAATTAAAATATACTTGAGTGAATCTCGTTGATTCAACAAAATGTTGACTCATCATTCATTGCAAGTTATGACATCGGATAGTTTACGACTTTTTAACGATATAAAACAAACTGAATTTCGCTGGCGCAACATTTGAAAGTAAAATTGATTTATATTTCAATTGAGTCGCAGACCTTGATTCCACTAGAAAATAGTGTTTAACTTCTCTGAGTTTTATATTGACGATGTTCATATGACTAAAAAAATTCTCTTTTTTTATCTGTTATTTGTTTTTTGAAAAAAAAAAAAAAAACCCTTGCACTTACTTTAGGATAACATTATATTGTTATCAGGACGTTTTACAAATATAAATTTCACGTGGACAAACACCCAGATGCGAAACAAATGTCTGTGGGTAACACAAATAATTGTCTTGTGCGGGAATCGAACCCACAACCCATGAGCCCCGCCGCCGAAGCCACAGAGTCATCAATGTTCTGTTCACTCTGTTCACTATATAATCATCATATGATAAAATTAATGGGAGAACATGGTCAGACGGATAATAGTCTTTTAGTCAATCCGTTTTATATTTTAATACATAAATTTTATTAAAATGAAATATTATTTGATAGTTTATCTGTAACTCTGTTTTGTTACATAAATCTGTTACTATTTCTCTTCGTAATATTTCATGGCCTAGGCTCTATTTCTAAAAGACCTTCTATATGTATACATGAAAAGTTGTATTTTTCCTAGATCCGCCACTTTCACCGCAACACATCGATTTCTTGTTCGTCGCCGAGTTGAATGCTTAGAAAACTGGAAGATCGACGCTTCCGACATACATACAGTTGCATGTGAGATCGCCGTATAAGGCGGTGACAATTTTTACTATAATTATCGCGTCAGGTTAAAAAAGCGGAACATCTGTGGTAATCTTTTCTTAATTGTAGGTTGACAGTATACTTAATGTGATGATAGTCGACGCAGTTACTACTCGTACTATGTAGTTTTTATACTAACAGCAACTTGAATCCTTTATATCGACAAAGTATTGCATTACTAAAAAGTCAGCATGCAATAGAAAATTATTAATTTTGTTCTATGTTATTCGTTTTTAACTTATCGTGTTTAAAAATTAAGTTAAATTAAAAGATCTTGCGACTAGATGAATGTAGGTAGTGTTCGTTAAAAAGTTACTGTACCGAGGTGGAGAGGCGATTAAACCCGTTCCACTCTTCCTAACTTTCGCATGCGGGTTTCATTTGGCTAACATCAAAAAACTTTTCACGTGCAACTTCATATCGGACATAAAAAGCGAGAATTATAATAACGGGCTACGTGCCGCCGCGAAACACTTTCAAGTACGTTTAATAGCGACCTCTAAAATCAGCGCGTGTGTAACGAGTGTTTGGTTGGCACGAAAACTTACTGAACTAATTTGAAAATTAGATTGCCGCAGGTGGTAAGAGTACAGCAAGTAGTGGATAATTTACCAGCTTTTTAGTTTTCGCCTGATTTTAACTCGGACCTCAAATAGTTCGATATACGGCGTGTTATTTTGTTTAACGTCTATGGTTATACTTGAATACCATAAAATGCTTAATGATGCTTACTGTATATAAGTAAAGTGATAGACGATATATTTTAAGCAATTAGCAACGCAGATTTAGTTGCGGGTATCAACTAGTTATCTTAAAATTTGTAAACATACCTTTGTGGTGCTCTGCATTTGGAGAAATGTTGCTATACCGGCTCGCACGCGGTTCTTCACTCCGCGTATCGTGCCCTTTGAGCTCCTTATAGTGGAAGGTGGCTCTTCGTTTCTGTAGTCCTTCACGCCGGCAAAGTACTCCAGCTCGGGTGGCTCCTCACTCACACTCTTATCGACACTCGCACTATTGACTGGCACATCGAACTGTTTCTCGTTCAGATGGAAATCGTAGAACTTGTCCGCGTCGAAGTAGTGGCTGCTGTAGCACAATCGCTCTTGTTTCATCTCGTCCACCTTCTTTCTCTCCTCGTAACTTTCAATTATCAACGGCGTCTTGCTGCCCAAGCTCGTCGGCAACGACTCGGTGCTATTGTCAGCCAGCTCGCCGTTCAACTGCGACACAAGCCGGAACGATGTAAGTCGCTCGCTTTCTTCATTAGAATTAGCATTATCATTGATATTCCGGCCCGCTTCCTCGTGCGTTCGCTCGGCCGAGTCACTTTCGGTTTCGGGCGTGTTGAGTTTCGCTGAGCGGTCTCTGATATCTTTAAGGAGGCCTTGCGGTAGAAAGCGCTCTTTGTCGGTCGCTTTGGCCGCGAACGTGGGCATGACTGGCGGGGCAGGTGGCTCCGCTTCTCGCGTCTCCTTTTTGACCATGTCCTCGCATTGACTATCATCTGCGTGCACGCTCCCATTTAGGTCGCTGCTGTTCAAGGAGTCGCACGATATGTTGGACTCGTTGTCTTCGAAATCCAATTCACCGTTCCTCGTGGAGCTTATCATTGTCACTGTGACAGCCTTCTTTGAGGATGACTTGGACGTTTTCTTTTTCGGCAGTGGCGGCGGCGTCCCGTCTAGGTCGCTGCACGTCCCCGAATCGAGTGTATCGCTGGGGGAACATTGGCCACTGGACATCATGCTGGTGGACACATACGAGTTGCAGTATATGTACGGCGCTTTATCCATCTTTGCTGTTTCCTCGTTATCGCGGATCTTGGGTCGGTTCTCGTCCACATTAATTCTTACTAGGCTATTGTTCTTTTTTGTGTCGCCGATTTTGAACGTCTCGAAGTCGGCATCGCTTTTGAGGTGCACGCTCGAGATCTTCGGCGCTTTTGGCTTGTCGGTGTCCGTGTTTATTCTGATAGTGACCACGTGGGGACCGTTGGCTGCTTGAGCGTTTGAACTAGGCGTGCTCGCCGTCCGATCTGGTTGCGTCGCCGCTATGAATACCGTTGCGGACGGTGGCTTAGAATTAAGGACGAGCGAGTGCATCGAACTTAGCGGGTCCATGTCGGACCGGCTGCCATTCGTTACGAGAGGCGCGTCATCGCTCTTTATCTGTGTAATAGTGGTCGCTCCTCTCTGAGCTCTTTGAAGCATTGGGGAGATGTACTCGAGATTGGGGCGCGTCGTCAGCTCTTCCATCGTGCACCAGTGTCGGTCAATAAATCGGCATAATTAGCTAACGGTGCTTCCACTCGCGAACTCCGGTCCGCCTTTAGATAGTGATTGATTTATACGGCATAATAGTTCCGGTGACCGCTCAAGACTGGGTCAATAGTCCTCCGTCGGCGCGTACGCTTCACCACGATGTTTACACCTGTAAAAAGTATTTATAGATTAGACACGTTCCAGTGTTCGATTGTCGATGTTGTTTTTGTTGCGTAATCGCGTAATTCTAAATTACTTAATATTCTATTGTTTTACTATTAAACTAGACGGAATTACTATTAAATTATAAAAAAATCCCTTACTGTAGGATCCTGTTATAAGGATGGTATACAAAAACACATTTAACGTAGACAAACATGCAACACTCGCTACGGAGTAATTAGTTCTATATTTTTTTTATGATGCCTGTATGTAATAATATGTAAAATATGTATTTAATGAATTTTCAGTGAATATGTATTCAGGAAATGAAACGTGCGTGACATTGTGAAACATCGTGAATTTATTGTTAAAAATACATGTACTTTCTAAACTATTACAAAACTATTGGATGTAATACACGTAAATAGACAAACAGGCTTCGAAAACTCACGTTATGTACTTAAATTATTATAGAGTCACGTAAGAAGAGTACACTGTTACGTAAGGTCAGTTTCAAATGGCATTATTACAACATTATTTACCTCTAAACATTTGACGAGCATATGAACATAAAATGTATTACTTAAAATCGTATTTCAGTGTTTTGGGCTGATACCGATTCTAAGTTTCCGGTATAACTTCATTTGAACCTATAGTGACACTTTTAATAATTCATTTTACAGCGGAAAATATCTTCAAAATTCCGAAAGAGTATTTAGAAAACAGTAATCACTCAATAACAATTAAATCCAACGTCTATATAATACATTTATATTAATATTATCACTTCAATATCGTAATAGACACTTATGATATCTCGTCGATATGAGATTTAAATTTTAGTATTAATAAAAGTGAAACAGAAACTTTCTTTAGGTGCTTAGAATATTATTTAGTTGATCTGGTTAAAAGATCATTAATAATTTGATTTTGGAAAAACAATTTATTTTTTCGAATAAATATCGTTTCAATAATTACGGTTTTGAGACGCGATTGCTATTGTAGAATCTGTAAAATTTAATTTTAATACAAAATTATCCTTAAATTTGTTGATAATAAATTTTTGCAAATGTATTTGTTCGAATCAACAAACATATAAGTGGAATCGGAAACTTTATTCTTTTCGACAAGGTCTCGCTATTTTAGATGACTCCGTGGCTAGGTAATAGCTTTGGCGTCGGGGGTCGTGGGTTCGATTCCCACACGGGACAACAATTTGTGTGAACCACAGATAATTGTTTCGCATCTGGGTGTTTGTTCACGTAAAATTTATGTTTTATATTATACAGGATAATGTAATCCTAAAGAAAGGGCGACAGCAAAAAGTTTTTTTTTTAAAAAGAAAAGAAATCCATGGGTGGCGGTGAATGATAATGACTGGATAAAATTACGTATAATTAAAAAGTATAACGAAACAGATTCATTCTGCATTCAATTTTATATTTGACTTTTTTTTAAATATTGCCTAATTTAGTGTTGTACTGTAGGATAACATTATCCTGTGTAATAAGTAAGTTACATACATAAATTTCAAGTGGACAAACACTTAGATCAGAAACAATTATCTGTGGGCCACACCAATACTTGTCCCGCGTGCGAATCGAACCCCCGACCTCGGCGCCGAAGCGAGTATCCCAGAATATGCGCCACAGAGCCTAGAGCCATCCAATCACGTTATCAATTCGGATTGTTAAACGTGAACATTCGCAACACGACGGTTACACTTCGTATTAAGTTTCGGTGGATTTTTCACGGACGTAACCGCTGGCGGGTCGACCGCTGACCGATATTACTATGACCCAATTTCACAGGCACGACCGCGCGGCGATCCATTGAACCGTAACACAAAGTTAGACACAGTGACAGAGTTATATAATAAGCAATTTGCGGATTAAGCATAAAGATAGACGTTCTTTCGTATTTCGCGAATTAACTCTATGACGAATATTGTTACGAAGCTATTGAGCTTTGCGACATCGATGTTCGAAATGATCGATAGGTGTTGCAACTCTAAACATTACCTTCTGACCGTGTCATTATCTATTATTCTATTGACAAGCATTTAGTTGGCAAGGTTCCATCAAAAATATCTCATATATAATCATTTAGTCCCAAGCTTGCTTTTTGTACGTTCGCGGCTTTCAGTCCGTAGAATATAATATAAAGCTTTATCGCGCACAAAATTTGTGGAAAAGCTAAGCTACCACGAGTAGTTCCAAGCAATACCGGCTGTGGCTTGTTGCCGTACTCTAGTCTCATTTAAGTTCCATTGTTCCGGTGTACGTTTCTCACTTTTAAATAACCAAAAATTATCATAAAGTTCCTGAACTTTTGTACATAATACATTCAAAAAATATAGTTTACATTATTAGTACGTTTAAAGCTACTTCAGATGACAAGTCGGATTTCTCAGATATTAATCTTTATGACTGCTTTCTGTTCTTTTATTATTTTTCACTTTCATAAATATGTACAATCATTTTGATTATAAGAATCTTTTATGAAGCCCGACCAGACATTATTGTAATTTTATTGTTATCTAAGTACTTTATATTTTTGGCAAAGCATGGATGCTAAGATATAACGTATGAGGTAATAAAATCATTCTATCGCTTAATATTCCGCGGAACGAAAGTGTTCAGCCACGCCTAGACGTCTTAATTACTCTCAGTGCCCGGTCATTATTACGAACTTACAAAAATGTGCTACAGCAAAACGGACTTTAGGAACACTTTCCCCTTCTAAGTGTCGAGACGAATTGATTTTCTAATGAATTCTAACGGCGGCCGCAACAACTCTTTTCTCATCTTCCAGTTCGCGTAATTAACTTTTACAACATTTTATTTACAAGCTTTATAGCATATCATACGAGAGTGAACGCAGTAGTGTTTCATAAATCTGCTTGTCGAAAGCTACTCAAGATTATAATTAAAATTGAAGTGTGAATACCAGCTTTTGTTATTCGATAGCAAAATCTGTAGATATTAAATGCACATTTAGCAACTGTAACAATTCAACGTATGATTGCAGTGATTTTCTTGATGTATTCTATTCTTGCTTTATAGTTTCCTCAGACTTGATTCACCTAAATTTGAGATTCATATAAATACTAATTAATAATTTAACGATGGTAGGGCCACGCAGCAGCCTCGGCTGTTGCACGAATGGGCAGGCTCGTCCGGGTAAGTACCACGACCCCACAGAAGACCAGCGTAAAGTGGAAGTATGACAAATATTTTCGCGTTTCGTCTGGTGAGTGAGGTAGCCGGAGCCCTATTTTCAAAAGGTTGTCAACGTATCTGTAACCCTCTGGTGTAGCAGATGTCCATGGGCGGCGGTATTCACTTAACCGTTCGTCAACTTTTCGTGAACCGTTTGTCAACTATCACATAAAAAAAGTATATTATATCCCAGGTTCTCACGCATAGTTGTCTCAAAATTGAATAGATTATCCATTATGAAGAGAACTAACAATTTATACCTAATAAAAATATTACTGTGGTTTATAATACACTAATATTAGATAGTGGATGGCATAAGCTGTTTTTGATGAAAAAAGGCTTGTTTGTGACTTTGAGAGTCGGTTATGAGCTTCATATCAGTGATGGACTTAAAACGTGTACAAAAAGAAACCAGTTAGACAAATCTACCGGTACATCGCGACAAAACAGGCCATAAGAGAGCATGATAATTAACATACAAATTGTATGTAAACCAGTTGTCAATTAGCCCATGCAAATGTGACAGCGCGCACAATTAGCGATGATGGCAGATAGTCACGTAATAGAAAAGTTGACTGCACGTATATTGCGAAGAAACGACGAGTACATCCGGACAGCTATGTACGTCGGTCAACACTTTCGTGGGTTTATTGAACTCGATTGATACAGATTTATTGCAACCGTATATAATGAAGCGTACGTAATTTTAATTTTTTGGTTTGTTTAACATGTTCAAACGTAGCAATATTATAGCAATACACCATCCACACTAAATAAATATAGAGAATGTTGGCTGGCTAGCATGATCTCCGACTACAAAAAGACAAAAGAATGTCTTCTCTTTTCGTTGTCACTTTTGTTAGGTTTTAGATGCCTTAAGAATATAAATCGCTTTGTAGAAGTTGCAAACATCTACAGAAATATGGTTGAAGTAATTGCTGTTCCTAATGTCCTGTTTAATCCTTTTGTATCTTTGCATTAACATTTTTCTTTTTGTACTTCTTAATTAGGTTATTAATACGTCTCACGTATAAAATATTTGAAACGCCCAAAAAATAAAAAACTTTTTTATCCTTTAATGAGTTTGACTAAATAAATATTCATTACCTCAATACTAAATACTTCACGAGGAAAACTCACACAGCAAAATTCAAGTCAAATTTAATGACTCCGTGGCGCAGTTTCCAAGGTATTAGCTTCGGCGTCGGGGGTCGTGGGTTCGATCCCCACACGGGACAACTATTTGTGTGACCCCACAGATGGTTGTTTCGCATCTGGGTGTTTGTCCACGTGGAATTTATGTTTGTAAAACGTCCTTACAACACAGGATGATATTATCCTAAAGTAAGGGCAGTGTTTTAAAAAAAAATAGTGTTTAAATTCCGACTATAAAATAAATACAGTTTTCATAACTTTTATTCGATGGAAACGAAAATATCGTCCAATAGTTGCTATTTTTTCGATTACATTTTTATATTTTCGATTACAACCAAGGGCGGATCCAGCTTTGGCGCCAGGGGTCACATAGTGTGTTAAGCGCGTTTGTAATCATACATAACATTATATTATATTAATTAAATACTGAAAGTACTTACATTAAATCTATATTGT